GTCTATCTCCCAGGATGAAATGATCTTCCACAAACAATAGCAGCACTACTAACTGTTTGCCTTACGAACACACTAAGTGTTTGCACTCTTTCTTTCGGAAATAAAAATGCAACAAGATGAAGAATATAATTTGCAGAGTATGGAGTACGAAAATTCTTAGTAAAATCCAAATGGGAGGCTAGTCTATTTATAGATGTAAAGGTGGCTCTTGGTTTTAAATTGAACAGGTATGATACCTGTTGGTTTTGAATTCAAACAGATAGCAAAAAACGAGAAGGGCCCTGTTTGAGTGTGCACTAATTCCAAACTAGTTTATTTCTGTTTGAAAACGGGAAGGGCCCTGTTTGGATGTACAGAAATTCCAAATCAGTTAAATAAAATTAAATTCAAATATTTTTGGCCCAAAAAGATTAGTATTGGGCCGAACAAGCCCAACCCGACCACACACCCGCTCCCAAGCCCAGGCCGCCCGATCAGACGGACGGTAGCGGCGCGCGCGCGCGTGTGTGGTGATTTTTGGGTCCAATGGGTCTAGCCCATTTTGCCCATAACCTCTCCCTCTAAAACACTTGGGTACCCCTTGGCGCACACCCCAAGTACCAAACCCATGCCTTATAAACCCTTTCAAAACTTCCTACCAAATCAATGTGGGACAAGCCATTTTACAACTTTAAAGAATTTCCACCAAAACTCCATTTCCATGTAGCACACTTTAGCTTCAATTTCCTATTCACTCGGTAATGGTTTTGAGCAACCAAATATACCACGTGAATCACAACGCGGCATAGAACGCGTTACCACTTTGACCCGAGTAAATCGACACTTGGGGCCCACCTAAAAATTAGACCAAACTTGAGAAAAAATTCTAGTTTTACTCAGAATTTTTCTACCATTTCAGTACATTTTTTTTAATATTTTTATGTATTTATTAATTTTTTAAAATAGTTTTTCATAAATTTTTTACTTTTTAGATACATCTAAGTAAAGTGTATATAAAAAAGTAAAAAAATAATTAAAATTTAAAAAATATTCACTAAAAGTAAAAAGTTGGACGTTTCTCGCCTCGGACGCTATAATTCGAAGAAAAATATTTTAGAGTCCTAAGAGAAGAACTTAAAAATAACAATTTTTTTTTTTTTTTTTTTTTTTTTTTTTTTTTCCCCGCTAAAATGCAAAGGTTCAAGATAGAAAATTGGTGATTAACTCATCTGATAATTGTTTCAGTTTTTTATCTTTGCATTTTACCACTCTTTCTCAAAGGATGCCAAACACACTTTCAAATTATGGGTATTGTATTAAATAACAACTACGAGGGGAATCATTTGGATAACCTCAACCATGAAAACATCATGGAAAATGATATATCAATGTCAATATAATCTTTTCATAAGTATAAATTATTAATAAGTCCTATGTTTGTGACTTATCTATTAAGTCATATTGATAAATTTATTAAGTAATAAATTTATAGTAATAAATTTATCAGTTAAAATCTGCAAATAAATAAATTTAGCTCATAGGACTAATTGATAAGTCCCTCTAATAATTAATGGCCATAAAGCATATATATCTTAGGTCCCCAAATTTGTTATCCATTTGAATAAATTATTGAAAAACAAATGTAGCATTTGATAGAGTTTTTTAAATATGATTTGATAATAGAGTTGCATTTTGAGTTTGTGAGTTTTGGAATTATGATTTGAGTGTAGAAAATTTGTTTGGTTATGAGTTTTGAAAAGAATTTTGAATTGGGCGTTGAATTGAGTTTTGAATGTTTGATGTGACATGTGAAATAATAAAATTTATTTGGTTATGAATTTTGGAAAGAGTTTTCAAAACTTAATTTAAATTGTTATAACTCATAACCAAACAAACTACTCAAAACTGTATTAAAAATTTTGATTAACATTTATAACCAAACTCTTTTTAAAATTCAATAAAAAAAATAATTATTAACCAAAAATAATATTAATCAATTTTTTAAATTGAAAATATTACAAAGGAAATATTTTTTTTCAAAATAAATAATTCAATTATTGATTTAAAATAACTTTTATTGTATATTTGGTTCGAATTATTTTTTAAAAATATTTTTGATTTAAAAAATAAAAAAATATATTATTTTTGTTTAAAAAAAAATTAAAAACAAATTCTCATTCCCCTCCTCCCAAAAAAAAAACAGGTGCCATTTGCAAAAATAAAAATAAATAAATAAATAAATAAACACTGTTCTTGTCAACCAGCTGGACATCTGGGGGGATGTCCTGGAGGACGACCGGGTAGACCAAAATCGCTCTTTTCAAAATTCAAAATTCAAAATTCAAAATTCAAAATTTAAAAACTCACTGTGCTACCAAACAGGTTTTCAAATAAGTTTTGAAATGTAACTTGAAATCAATTTTGAAAAGCTTAAACCAAACAATGTGTTGAAAATAACTCTGAAATTAAGGCTTTGTTTGTCATAATCTAAAAACGTTAAAAAATCAAAAAAGTTATTATCCTATTTAAGTCACATCATTTATTTAAGTCACATTATCTCTCTATCACATTACTTCAAACCAAACCTATACCCAACCCATATTTCATAAAAAGTCAAAAAATACACTTATTTAGATTATTTCAAACCACCCCATTCTAGAGCTATACCAAATACAGCCAAAGATAATGCCATTGATCGTTGTTTATGGTGGGAAAAGTGCACGGCTAATAGTGCTAATTATTTCTTTACACTCTACCACCGGCTATCACAATTTCATTTGTAGTTGCTGTCCAAGATCGATCC